ACATCTGAATACGTTTCCTTTCTCCAAACGAATCTGGGCATAACCTCACCTCCCTGTTTATACCACATACCATCAACCACTTGAGAGCCATTCCTTAGAATATCCACCCAAGTCTGTGGTACCGCATTCTGCAATTGTTGAAGGTGTTGCTGTTGATGCCACAAACCGGTCAAAGCAGGTGCCAGCGATTCAAATGTTTTCCAATCTGCTGAATGAATGTCCCACAAATCGGAGAGAGTTTCGATTCCTCTACCCATCCATGCATTCCCAAATTGGCCAGGACTGAAACATGCAAAAGACTGTCCCAGATCAATCAAAATCCAGGGGTTGTTAAACAAGGGTTGTGTAAGCAGGCGCTCAAATATCATCTGAGGGGGTTGCAACCGAGGACAGACTGCTCTCCATGCCTTCAAAATACCAGTCCACACTCCCGACGGCATTTGCTTCCGGAGATATTCCGGAATAAGAAAAGTTAACCAAAAGCAGCACAGTTCAGACCAATCCATAGAAGAAAAAAAAGTGAATTTCGCCAGTTGTCTCCACGGTGAATGCGGTGATTCCAGAATCGCCCATGGCACCCATCTTGCCAGCAAGGCGGTGATCTGGCTTTCCGGGTCCAAAATCGAAAGACCTCCACAACGTTTTGGTTGCACCACTGTCTGCCAAGCTACTTTAGGCAAAAATTTATCATCATTCATCTCTTCTTTCCATAAGTAGTGTGACACCAGGTGCCTAATCATCTGAAGGGAAGGAGTCATATTGGAAAACAGAACGCCTGTACCACAATGTGGACAAAACTGCATTGTTAATGACTATCGCCCTCCCAAACAAGCTTGTACCTTTATGTTGAACCCATGGCAAAATTGCTGCACGTAATTGAGTAACAGATTGTGTAGAGTCACTCATCTGCTGTGGGTCAAATGAGGTGCAGTGTCCCAACAAACGTTCATGTTGTGATGAGATGACAACTCGAAGGCCCCAATGATGTGGTGGTTGCATTGTGGGCGGCACCAATACTGAAGACTTGGATCAGTTCACCGCCGCTTGTGATAGTTGGCAGAAAGTTTGAATTGTGTATCTCAAGGCAAAGAAAGCATTATCAGACAATTCCCGAAGGCAATATCACTCCCAGAATATCAGGATTAGTCCTAATCAAAATGTGCATAATTTCTACATACAATATGTACAAGTACGGTGCAACAGGGCAGCCTTGTCTCACCGACCGAGTAAGGTGAATGGGGTTCGATAACACTCCATTGACACAGAGTTGCGAGGTTGCATTGAGGAGAAGAGATGAGATTGCATGTTTGAATTTAGGCCCAAATCCAAAAGCTGTCAATACCGCTTGCAAGAATTCCCAGCCTACCCGATCGTATGCTTTCTCTAAGTCGAGCAAGACAATAGCCAAACAATCGCCCTCTCGCAAGGCCTGTTCCAACAACTGTTCCACAATTATCACATTATGAAGTATCTGTCTCCCAGGGACAAACCCTATTTGAGTAGGGTGAATCAGATGGGGGAGCACATTTTGAAGCCTCGCTGAGAGAATTTTAGCAAAAATTTTATAAAGTGCAGGCATCAGTGTGATCGGTCTATAATTTCTTATGTATGAAACAGCTCCTTTCTTATGCGAGAATGTAATTATCCCTTGGAGCACTTGAGGTGGAAACTCTGGCCCGTTTCAAACAGTCTGACAAACAATTAACAGTTCTGGTAGCAAATGTAGCGAAAAGTTCCGGAAAAATTGTGCAGGCAACCCATCTAACCCAGGTGTTTTGTGCAGAGCTAAAGATCTAAGCGCATCAGTCAGCTCTTGCATCGTGATATCTGCCTCCATGTTTTGCAGTTGAGTCGCGTTTAGTTTCTTATCAACTTTAGCCCAAATTTCATCATGAGATTGATGAAGTAACTGTTGTTCGGTGTATTGCGTCTGCGATGCTAACAGATTCTCGTAGAATAATGATATGTTAATTATAATCGATTGAGTATCCGTTGCCAAAGGTGCATGTTCATCAAACGGGTGTTGCATAGCCAGGATCAAACGTGACTGAGGTGGCGGGCGATGACTAGCAAAGAATGAGGTCGTCATCCGATCTCCTTTAACTAACCAACACACTCGTTTATTGTGGGTTACAATCTTCATAGCCGGCTGTACTTGAAAAGTCCAGCGTTGTTGTAAGTAGTCCATTCTATTCATGAAAGTGCGTTCATCAACACACGAGCTTGATGTCATTTGCATAAGATCTTGCATGTCGTCATTGATTCTTTGAAGATCAGTGCGGCTATTAGTCAAAATCATTTGTTTGATTAACAGTCCTCGCTGTAGCACAACTCGCTGCCCTCCCATGTACCAGTCTGCCTCAGAGGGAAACAGGTACTTGGAGGTACGTCATTTTGGCCAAAAATCGTACATGAATTGTGCAAATTGTTGAGTGCGCACCACCCATTCCGGTAACGATTTCCTATCATGACCTACCCTGACAAAAGTACGAACAAAGAACTCCAAAAACAAAGGTTGATGATCCGATCCTATATACGGCATTACAAAACATCTAGACAAGATCAGCACATCTGAGGCGAAAAAAAGATCCAATCGACTTCGGGGTATATATTGCTGTTGAGCTGCCCCTGCTGCAAAGAAGGTAAAGCCTCGGTCGGAAGGTTGCAACAATCGAAACAAATCAGAAAACTCATTCAGGGAAACAAAGTCCATCAATTGCAAAGCATCTGGTCCTACAGGTCCCACTCGTAATGAGTCCATCCCCGGAACTAGTGTTGTGTTCCAATCTCCACCCAAAATTAGTTTATCCACATCCGAAATCAACCATGGCAGATATTTAAAGAGATCAATCCGTTCTAGTTGAGAGGTAGGGGCATAGATATTAAAGACGGCCCATTGTTCTTGAAACACATCGAATCGAACCCACAGCCATCGACCAAACGGATCGCATCTATAATCAGTAATTTGGAACGGTGCAGTTATGGAAAAAATGATGGCTACTCCACCACGAGTGCCTCTGGTCGGGGCCCAGAATTGCTGGCCCAGCCACCAACCCCATTGTTCAGTGATAGCTTCGTCATTCAACTTTGTTTCTTGCAAAAGTACTATGTGCACCCCTTTGTTACGAGCCAATGTCTTGATCAGCGATCGTTTAATCGCCACCCGTCTCGACCCCAATCCCCGAACATTCCAAGATATCAGTCGAATCGAATCCATCCCAATTTACTCTGGGAGCCAATCTGCACATTTGAGCAACAGGAACTGGTTTGAGAAGATGCTTTTATGCCAAGGGACATGAGAGTCCACTTGGGAAAGCAACGCTGCATTCCAACCGTCATAAATGCGTGTGTCCACAGTCCTCTGTCCCGCCGGGTTTTTGAGCAATTGCAGAGAAATCCATCTAAGATCTGTCAAGGCAGACGAATCTTTCCCATCTGGGTTGACAATAGCGTCCACAAACGGAAAGCAAAGTATATCAGTTCTAGCATTCCTTGGTGTCAACCGCACCCAGTCCATCGCTGGGTATGAGCGGACCTTATATGCAGGCTGCAACCATTTTCGGATTTCAGTCAACACAGCGTGCTCGGTAGGCTCCGATTGCAATTCGAAATGCGGCAAGAACAGATGTCCTTGTTGCGAATAGGCAGCCATAAGTTGAAGGTCACCATCGACAGCCGAAAAAACCAACGTAACAACGACCCATGGTTGGCCAGCAGCCAACGCATCTTGAATGGAACCCGGATAAGTATCCGCCCATTGCGGTTGGCCCTCTGTCTCATCAATAAGTTTACCCTTACCCAGATCCCCCTGCTGCTCTTCATGCAGATCCATCTGATCTGCCCACGAAACATTTTTCTCACTCGATTTAGATCCATCGCGTTGACATGGTTTGAAAGGGGAAGTTTTTGGGCCACCTGTCAGTATTTTCTGTCTGTGGACCAACGGCAGACCTTTTGCCAGCGGCATCTGCTCCTCTGACCCCGGATACCGTGTCAGGGGAACCTGCTGTGCACTAACACCCCCATCATTCTGCATCTGTATTGATGTTGTCGTGACTATAATAGACTCTGGCGAACCTGTCGAGGTCATAGGCATGGACACAGACAAGCCTGTCGAGGTCACAGAAGTGGACACAAACAACCCTGTCGAAGTCACAGGTGTCGTAGAAGAGAGTGTGACTGACTGACTCACACCTACCCCCAAAGATTGTCCCAACTCGGACACAGTCATCTGGGTTGACACTAACCCCGTTGTGGCAGTCGTTGTTGTCGTGGTTAGTGTAACCCCCCGTGTAATCGAAGCAGTGACTGTAGGTCCAGTTGACGACATAGGCGATGAAGAGGTAGAGGAGGAGGCTCCTCTCGATTTTCTGTTGGGACAGTTCAAAGCTCCGGACCGATGGCCATACCAACGGCAATCATGACACCAAGGAGTATCCTGAGTGGCCACTTCCACGTCGTGCCATCCTTGTGGCGACCTAAATTTCAATTTTTTAGGGGCTCGCTCGACACTCCTCGGGCGCCGAAATCCCCCAAGGAAATCGTCGTTCCACTTGTCCTCGGGGAAAGAAAGAAAAAAAATGTGAAAACATTTCCTCAGGGATTCCTCGGGGATTCCTCGAGGCACAGACAATTTTCAATTTTCCCCAAGGAACCTCCGGTAGGATCCTCGGAGCTCCCCCATCGGGAAGAACCCGCTCTTCGACGGCACCTCAGTCGACTTCTTTTGTCGGCGGCGTCTGGTCCATCGGTGGTCCGAGCGACTTGCGCACGGACATGTTGGGTCACCAACGTTCAAGAGGCCCGATGTCCACGCCAACGGTAACCGTTAGCGGGCCGGTAGCATCCCCAAGGTGCACACCGCGTTGCAACTCGGGGTTGGGCTTCAGCCGTGGCGGGAAACCGGCCAACGGTCGGCAAATGCGAATATTTTAGGCGGCACAGCGCGTCCAGAAGACGACGGCTTCCGTTTGTCGCCAAGCGCGTGTCACCGTGTGCAGGACGTCGCAGTTACGTTGTCGGCCGTGTTCTCTTCCGTCTGGTGCCATTGCCGTCGTCCGTCGCATGGCTGACAGCTTTCGCAAGCTCCCGCTGCTGCTTCTCGCCATCTTCCTACTGGTCGTCGTCGTAGTGTTGCACGTGTGTTTCGTCGGGAGCGCGCCGCGGCGTCAACGCAGACGAACTTCGTCGATGAAGGCCGTTAGGACGGATAGTGGACAGGGATCCCCCAGGGGAGGAGGGGAGCAGGTTGTGAGCAGGTGTGCCGTTGGGAGTTCTTCACCGGCTTGCAGGTTGTCGTTGGGGGTCGGTAATTCATCACTGCCGCCGCATTTGCAACCCCTCCTTGACTCATCTGATGAGGAGGAGAGGGAGGGACGGGCACGCACTGTTCCGTTGGGTAGTGGTTCTACGCAGGAATGGTCTTGGACGGAGCTGTGCGGCGGCAGTGGCGGCGTGCACAGCCAGTCCTTCACTGAACTGCTGGCGCCGGGTCTCGACGGGGAAGAAGGGCATGGCGGATCGAACGTGTCTTCCGGTCTGTCTACAGGGAGGTGTGGAAGCCAGACGCGCACAGTGATCGTCAATCCCCATGTCGGCGACGACGGCGGGCAGTTAACTGCTGTGGACCGATCATTGAAATCCGCAGGCGCGCAACAGTGGCAAGGACGAGCGACTTCCATCTCCAGGAGCACGCACGGTCGTCCGTCGTTTATGCAGTCCCCGGCTCCGTTGTGTGCTGCGTCCAACCTGGGACGTCGACGTCGCATTGTCGAGGAGGGAGGGGGGGTACTTGGACGACGTCGTTGACGACCTCGACGGGAGGTTAGTGTGGCGGAGGAGCGACGGAAGATCAGGGAGGGGCGAGAGGAAGCAACCAGGCGGGGGGTGGAGCGGCTGAGGATGGACAGGCAGGCGGAAGAAGTTGAGGAGCCACATGCGGGGCTTCCGTCCGAAGACGACGACAACGATGGCGCAGGAGAGGCAGGAGACGGGAATGGCGGTTACGCCTCGCCATCGCAGAACAGCAACGGGGGGTGGAAGGGCGGCAAGACGAAGGCGACCAGCGGGAACGGTCATGGGCGGCCGAAGAAAGCGCAAGCAAAGGCGAACGACGGAGAGGAGAAGCGAAACTTTTGGAGTGTCGAACATATCATCGCGCTCATACGGGCGAAACGCGATCAGGATGCGCACTTGCAGGGGATGGGGCATGCCTATGCCCGAATGAAGCCGAGGGAGTGGAAATGGAATGACGTCGCCAGAAGATTGAAGAATGTGGGTGTCGACAGGAAGCCGGAGAAATGTGGGAAGAAGTGGGACAACCTCATGCAGCAATTCAAGAAAGTTCATCATTTTCAATCGTCGTCCGGGGGAATCGACTTCTTCCAGTTGAACGGCAAGGAGAGGGCGAGACACGGCTTCAATTTCGACATGGACCTCGCCGTTTACGGCGAGATTGAAGGGTCCAGCGGTTCCAACGAAACCATCAACCCCAAAAACGTTGCCGACACTGGTGCCCGCGGCGGTGTGCGTTTGCCGTCGACGACAACTGCTGATCCTCAAGCAGTTGGTGATGCCGACGCCGGTGCGGGGGGGGAAGATGAGGACGAGGGATCGACTCATGGTTCCTCCCAGACGTCGGGCAGCCCCCATGGTTTCGGAAAGAGGAAGAGCACGCGGCAGCAGACGTTCGAAGCAATGATGGAGTGCATGGACAAGCACGGTGCGTTGATGGCGGCCACGATGGAGAGTGCCAACAAGCGGCAATGCAGCATTCAGCTACGACAATGTGAGGCATTAGAAGCTGAAGTACAGGTGCAGAAGACGCACTACGCCGCGTCCAATGAAGTCAGCAAACTCATGTGCCATGCGTTGTTGGAAATAGCAAAGGCTATTCGCGAGCAATAGACTTCGTTGGCATTGTGTTGTGTAGCACTTGCTCCCTGGAATTTAGTAGTCGGTGGATAGTTGGAGGCTTTCCGTTGTAGTCGGCTTCGTTGGCAAGTTGTCCTCATCGATTGCGGTCGTTGGTGGTCTTTGTAGTGTTGTATTACACCGGTTGGGTGCATCAGTCGGCCGACTTTGTGTGTGTTTACTCTGACGTTGTACGAGACGGGTAATCCCGTCATTCAATGAATTGAATTTGAATTTCGATAGTGCAGAAAGCACTTTCCTTTTTGTTAAAGTGTTGCCCCTCAATTCTTTCGTCTCCGACTGTTGTTATGGTGTGATCTCTCTCTCTCTCTCTCTCTCTCTCTCTCTCTCTCTCTCTCTCTCTCTCTCTCTCTCTC